CATCAGTGTGGTCAATTGCACTATTGTAACTCTCCACAAATATTTATCCCTTCGCTCCCTGTCATGCGGGTCTAGTCTCTAGCTCTTCCCCTGCACCTTTTTTTTTTTTTTTTGGAGGGGGGCTAATTTTTTTCCTAGGTTACTTCTGCCAGGACCCATACCTCAAATAGCTTATTTAATTCCTTCAATAAATGTTTTTGTAATTTGTGAGAGTCTGAGAAGTCATTCAGTCCATGTCTGGAGTTGTAGAAAATGCAAACAAACAACTTTTTTTTTTTTTTTGTCTTTACTTATTTCTAAATTTTAAATCACTTTCTTTTTTTCTAAAATCTATCTTCTTCATCTCTCTCTTGGTTCCTAGACGGCTGGCTAAATCCACCCTCCTCCTCATTCCTCTGTTTGGGATTCACTACGTGGTGTTTGTGTCTCCCAACCAGTCCATCACAGAAGATTATAAGATATTTTTTGACCTAGCTCTCGGCTCCTTCCAGGTGTGCTACCAGCTGAGTCTTCAAAGAACAGTGGTATTAATTTGGCTTTTTTAAATCCTTATTTTACCTAATAGAGATGTTTCTGTGTTTTTTTCCCCCCAGGGTCTGGTGGTGGCCATCTTATACTGTTTCCTGAACAGTGAGGTAAGTTATCACTCATGTGTAATAGTTTCAAATTGTCCAATGGTTTTAATTGTATATAGTTTTGACTCCTGATTTTAAATTGTATTTTAGTTTTTGCTTAGTTGATTCAATTTTATGCCTATTTGTTACATAGTTTAGTTAGGTTTTTTATTTGTTTTAAATGCATTTTTTCAATTTAGTTCTTAATAGTTTGAGCTAAATTTTCATATTATAGTCTTTTTATGCGGGAAAAAAAAACAAAACAAACTTGCGTACCAAGGGCAAAACAAAAAAAAAATCTGGAATGAAAACCCCAGATAAGGACAGACCGCTGCAGCAACAAAAATGACATAACTGCAGGAACATGCCATCTCCTGTCGAAATGTGCTACAACAGAAAAAAAAAAATTTAAAACACCAACTGGAAACTAGACCTCATTATTAATGTGTAAAAACATTCTCTATTAAAAATCAGTTAGTTTTAATTAGTTTAGTACACTCGTGTCAGAGTTTTCAATTATTTTAACTTTTTTTTTGTCTAGTTTTTAACTTTATTTCAGTTAAATTTTTTTTTTTACTACTGACTAATTACTTGTTTTCATTATTAACTACGGAAGATGATTAGGGCCACTGGGAGAAAAAAAAAAGGTAAACTGATTTTTAAACATTATTTCAGCTTTTTTTTCCTCAGAATTCTAACTTTAGTCTCAGAATTATGTCTTTAATCTCAAAATTTTGACTTTTTTCTCAGAATTCTGACTTAAATCTCAGATTTTTGGATCTTAATGTAGATGGCACCATGAAGGAAGAGGTGTGGGAGCACTCAGCTTCACTGACAAAGATGTGAGTTGTTTGGGAGGGCCAGTAACACACTGGTGGCAAATGACGGAATTAGGTGACTTTTTACGTGCCCAAAGGGTCCCCAGTGATACTATTTCAGTAATAGAAGAGCAGAGGATGATTAAAACAAGAAAGCTAGGTTAGTCTCTAAAACAGACATGGCTATGTCTTGATGCTAACATATTTGAATTCAGCCACAATTCTGAGATTAAAGTCAGAATTTTTAGAAAAAAGTCAGAATTCTGAGATTAAAGTCAGAATTCGGACTTTTTTCTCATATTACACTGAAATAAAATTTTAAAATCAGTTAACTTTTTTAATTTATTCAGTGGCCCTAATCCTCTTCCGTAATTACCAGAGGTCTTTTCTGATTGAAACATTTTAAAGGCATCAAATATTTAACCCATAGGGCTTAACATAATGTTCATCCAACAATAGAAACTCTGTTTACAATTGACTCAATTAAATTTTCTTATAATTCATTTTAATAAACATGTGAAACTTAGACAGGAGTTACTGGGTATAAAAAAACACATAAAAAGCACAAAAAACACACAAATGTTAGGAGATCAGAAGGCTGATTGATCAGGCTGTCTAGCACAGCTTTAAGGGAAATAAAGTCTCTTTAATCTTGTTTTTAAAACAATTCGTAAAATATTATTTTTTTTATTTCAAATCTAGGTTTTTAATTATAGAGATTTAAAGTGAGTCTTCTGTGTATCATTATTGGACTTCAATACTCAGGATTTTAATGAACATTTAAATGGATGAATCTGGGTGATGGCTAGAAACCTGATGAAGTCATTTCATGGTGACTTTTTTACTAGATTTTTTTATTTATTTTTTTCCTCAGGTTCAGGGGGAGCTAAGGCGGAAATGGAGAAGCATGTGTCTAAACTGCCACCTAAGCAGAGCTAATCACTTCAACAACAACTTCTCCACCAACTTGGGTTCAGAGCAGATGATGCAGTTCCAGCGCACCACCAGAGCACAGTCAATCCTGCAGTCTGAGACAACAGTGCTGTGAGAACACGAGAGCTACGACTGATGCAAAAACAAACAGATAATAGAAAGAATGCAGTCTGCAGGTTGACCTGGGTCAATTTGGTTTTCCAAATTAAAATATACGTGGCCTGAAAAGAAACATGACATGGGAGCGAACTGCATTTTTTATTAGAAAATGTTGATTTTAGCTTCAGAAATAACTGCAGCTGTTTTCTAAGTGCTTTGAGCTGCGAGAGCTCATGGTCTAGACTGCTTTTCCTGAAGTCAGGGACAAAGGTGAGGTTTAAAATAACACCTACTGAATGTTTTAAACAGGGTGTTTTTTTCACATGAAATATATTTTAGTTGTATTGGTTACTGGTACACAGAGGTAGCTTTTTGGTTTGTCTGTTTACAGTTCAAAAGTGGCATTATTATTATAGAAAGAAGAATATTTCGGAAACAGATTCTGATCATATAAATACGCAGATTTTATTCTATATGAATATTTCTTGGTGTGCACCCTGTGGTTTCTTTCAGCTGTGCATGTCGAATGTTAAATTCAGAATCCTTCTCAAAAAGCACAAGTAAAAACAAAGCAGCTGTTTTTGCTAAAAACAGGATAGAAGCAATAATGACTGAAGAGTGGATCTTTTTAGTTATTTAGTTAATTTATAAACTGGTTTGCATTTATTGCTTTGCTAACTTGATGCATGTTACATGTCACCATTTTCCAGTATTTTACCCAAATTACCTATCTGTTGCTTTTACTGAGCTCTAACATTGTATGATGGGGATATTGCTGTATTTTTTCCAGATGCTTGGAACCAACAGTGGTTATTCAAACTGGGCACCATAAGTCCCATATTAACCACATTTCTAATTCTTCTACACAATTGTCTTCATAAATTGACCAATCATCAAGAAGCTTTGAGGATAACACATATATATTAAATAAGGATAAAAATGTGTAGAATTCAGCGTTGACCTTAAAATTAAACACTTTTACTTGCTTTATAAAATTGCCTCAGGTGCAGTTGTTTTGTACTTTTTTATGTTTGAGCTGAAAATAGAATCTTAAATTGAATTGGTTAATTAGCTGTACATTAATATACAGCTGTAATCTTCTGACATGTGAGAAATGAAATGTTATGCTAAACAATATTGCAAAGAAATAGTTTTTAAATTGATGCAGCTTCCATTACTTGCAAATAATGTTCAAAACATTAACAGTAGAAAAGGAAACATATGTATTATGTACTTTGGTTAAATTCTCACAAAGGTAGATTTAGGTAAATTTTGTTATTTAGTTCAGTAATCTGAACTGGACATACGGTAAACATATTTTCTATACACACTATAACTAAAATCTTGTCTTTCAGCTCAACACCCAAATTAGTAGGGCATTTTAAAGTTTTGAAAAAAGGTGTCTCTGATTGGTCGAGATTCCTGTCCTTATTTGGACTGTTTCTTCTTACAACATCCATATTTGACCCAGGTCAGCTTATGAGCTCAGATGGTCGGAGCTTATCTATATTACACTGCTGAATTGTTTCAGAAATGGTTCTGGAGAACTGTATCATTTCAATGTACATTTAGTGCTGATTTTGTTCAGATGCTGTGCATGTTTAATAATCCTTCTCTGCTTTCATGGTTCAGACTGAAGATATTATTTGTCTGTAAAAAGGAGCTGATTATAAGATGTCTACCAGGAGCTCTCATTGAGGCCTGTGGTGTAATAATCGACATTAGGAACAGAGCTCACATTCAAACTGCATTCCTACCAGATTTTTCATTTTATTGTGGTGTTTGCTCAAAAGGGAGGGGATTTGCTTCCTAAATCTGCATGCAGAGGCTGAGATTTGTTTGTTTTTTTTGTAAAATCCATTTCAGAAAGACATGAGAGAAATTCCTCAACCGTAGCTCTTGAGGAGGAGTTTCGCATGAACCTAATTTCTTTTTATGTACTTTTATCTTTCTGTGTAGATATTTATTCACACCCACAGCACTTCTGAAGAGGATGGTTGGTGCATCTAAAAAATTAAACGTGCAGTCAGAAAAACTGTTTTTGTTCTGATGAGTAATATTCACATTTTCAAAAATTGAAGTTTCCTTGAAAAAGAAACGCTATCAATGTGAGACAAGAAGGACTAACAGAATGATTATGTTGGTTGTTATTTATAGTTTTTCTTCCCCATATAGATAGCAAATGAAAACAACTCTGTAGGAGCAGCACTGTAACTGCATTTTATGTTCAACACACATCCATGGTGTTTTCTTGTTCTCCTCTTGTTTACATGTCTTTGGAAACGTTCAGCTTATCAGAAAATTATTTTGCTGATTTAGATCTGTTTTAAGTTCTATACAGACCGCAGCTCTAAGAAAATATGCTTCCTCCACAGTTCAGCAGGTGGCTCAGTCTGCTGCAAGTCCAGGAGCCCCTTTATTTTCATATAGGCATGTTTTAAATTTTAAAACTTAATTTTAAGATTGAAAAGAAAGATCACATCAGGATTCTTTATGAGATTTTTATTTATAATACAAATGTATTTAGCTTTTTAACTGAGGCAGTGTTAACTGAACTTTTATTTAATTTATTCATCCATTTTTGACTAACCATTCTTAGTAACCTGATTTGGAGTCATATATTCCATTAGATAGTTGAAAATTGGGTACAGAGCAAAATGATTCATACCCTTCTTTTTCCTTCAACCGAAACAATGTAAACGAGGCAGTCATTTGCGAAATGATAAGAAGCAGTGTAAAAGGATTTTAATTTAAAATATATATATGTATATATATATATATATATATATATATATATATATATTTTCAACACATTTCAGTTAAAACTTTGTATATATCAAAAATCTGTGGATATTTCTTATTTGGCATAACAGAACTTATACCCTTATACCTGCAGATCAGCATTTTGGATGTCTGCACTGGTATTTTGATGTTTAATATTCAGTAATGAGCTCCAAGTCTTAAAAGTTTGCAGGCCTTCTTACTGTCACCCTAATCTTTGGTTCCTTTCACATATTATGTTTTAGATTCAAGCGTAAACTATAGTAGGGCCACTACAAAATCTAGATATAGGTCTGAATCCTAGAAACAAGTAAACATTTGAATATAACTTTAAACCTGAAACTGCCATGGTCATTATTATTTTGGTGTAATTGTATATCTTGAAATGTAATAGATTCCTTGAATATATTGGAGGCATGAACGTTTGAAGGCTCTTAGGTTTTTAATGTACTTTTTCTTTGGATTCAGATAAATGTTTAGCAACAGCTATGCTGTAACTAGATATTTATATTTGCCTGTTTTTTTGGCTTTATTTTTAAACTTGTAACAAAGTTAAAAATTCTGTTTTTTCTTTAAAGGTAACGAGAAAACGTGTTAACTCAGGAAAAAAACAGATAAAGACTGACACTTTACATAAGGCATACAGCATAAAAATGAGGTGTTATTTGTTTAATTTCACATGATTTATATATGCTTCAAACTCTTTCAGTGCCAATAGTTTTTTGTTAGTACCTAAAATACATTCACAGTATGTAGAGAAAGATTGTGCCTTAAATTTGTCACTAAACTAGAATCTTGGACTGATCCTCACTGGCACTAAAAAAACTTGAGCATAAATCCATTGAAACAAAGCAGCTAGAATAATTTTTTTGATTTTAATATTACAACTATTTAATTTAATATAAATAGTAAAAGTCAGACCAATTGGACCTAGACTAGTTAGACTTAATTGTTTACACATTTATCCTACAAACATTTGATAACCAAGCATGGTACCAAGTGGAATCCTATAAAATTGTACAGTTTTGGAGAAAAGTATATCACTAAAAAAACAATTTCAGGTATATTTTGCAATGGGTACATAGGTAAATAACTCTACAGGAAATAACTCGCCATAGTGTCTTAAACTGATGCGAAATAGTTCAGCCTGAACTAATAATGCTCAATAATTGCATAGTTTTACCTTCTGAGTTTTTGTTGATCTGCCACCACTCAAGCTTTTTTTTTTTTACTTTAAGAGACCAAGGGTCCATATGTGTACAAACACAGAAGAAAAGAAAACTAAAAAATATTCCTTTTTTTTAACATACAGCTGTATGCCTTAGGAAAAGTGTTACCACAAGTTTGCATGAGTATCATAATTTCACAGAAGTTTCACAAGTTGTCAAGATGAAATTCTACTACATAGAACACTCTCTTTTTTCTTAATGTTAATATTTAATGTATATTATTAATCATTGGCTTTCTGAAACGATGTATTTGTAATAAGACACAATGAATGTCATTTAAAATATGATAAAGGCTGTCCTTTTAAGCAATGTATGTTGTGATTGTAGCTTTTTGATGTTTTATGTTAAACTGAAAATATATCAAACAGGATATAGGAAAAATATGAGGTGGGTGATTTTGTGCTTATTGGAGATGAAGTATTGGTTTCTTGACTTTTTATTATTCAGATTAAAGTATGGCAATACACACAAAAAGGCAACCATTGTGACGCAAAAGAAATCTTGTTTTCCAGGCACTGAAAACTTCTCTTGGTTAGAGCGGCCACCTCATATCCAGAGGCTCGATCCAAATACCTCAAATAGCTGCAGCTTCCTCTCCCTCCTATCCCCTCAGCTTTCAGGGTTTCAATGGTGGGAACATTATCCAAGGCAGGAAAGGAGTTGTGGACAGTTGTAGTAAATCCTGCTGAAGCCTTCAGTTGGACAAACGTCAATCCACGAATAACATAAACACAATCAACCCTGCTTCTAATTGGAAAAACAATAGAAAAAAAAAAAAAAAAAATGGGACTATATCCTTCCAGAACAAAACGATTGTCCAAAGCAAACTACTATGGCTCTTATTAGTATGTGTCATACAGAGTACTGTACATGTCACATAATAATGTATTATTGTTCAAGATTGGGAAGTGGACTCCCTGGTTCTTCCTCCTTCCTAGCACTGCCAGTACTATTTGGATAGCGCTTATTTTGGCGGCCACATTTTCACCATCGCTTAAGTGTCCTTACTGATTGGAGGTATTTAGATTAAGCTTAAGGCTGGTTCTCAACCTGGGACTCCCACATAAAGTCCTGTCCTGTAAAACCTCTGCTGCAGGTTCTTCCCCTCCTCTCTTTACAACGATTTTCTGTCTAATGACTGTCCAAATAAGGATCACTGATCCCCAAAACCAAATTTAAAAGGTCCTACTAGATCAGGGACCGAAAACCTTCAGCTCTGGGGCCGAATGAGCCTCTTTAATGGCCCCCTAGTGGCTCTCTGAAGGTTTTTCAATGTATGAAAATGGAAAAAGATGGATTTAATCTGATTTGTTTGATGGCATGCAGGTCAAACAAACATTCCTTTTGTTTTTCAATGCAGCAAAAATATGTATGATAAATACATTGAAACAATAAATGTAAATATTTCTGTCAAGGAAGATTTGTGCCACAGCCTGCAACACACGTTTCAGCGCAGCGCAGTGCCAGGCGGGTAGCGAGGTTGTATTGGGCCATGGATCCCAAAGGGAAAAAAAGAAAGATTGCTGATGAGGATTCAAATAAGAATGGACCGAATCATTAGCTTTTATTACCAATGCGGGAGGATTACCTGCTTCTTTGCTTTGTAATGAGTAATTTGGAAAGGCATTTCCAGCGAAGGCATGCTAAATACGCAGCCGACCACCAAGTTGGGAATGAAAGAGAAAAGTGTGATTGCAGTACTTTGGATTAATTAGAGGTGTCCAAAGATAGATTCAAGAAGTGGATTGCATCTCCTATCACCACTACTGCTGCTAGGTTTGTTGCAAACATGGAAAACCATCCACTGATCGAACAGGTAGCGCTCGGATACAAGCATGTGAACCTTCTTCCATTTCTTTCTCCCCAAAAGTAAAAATTACACCAAAAGTTTGATTTCTTTATTTAATTTCTATAATTTCAATGCAACAAAACCTAATACATTAATATTGTAATGGAATTCAAACTTAAAGCAAAAGATATCATACAGCAGATTAGTCATATGATGTGGCATTTATTCCGGGATGAACATTTAATTATGAATGCTTACTATATTTAAGCCCACATAGTCCTTTTTTTATAGTGGGATATTTATAGTGGAACCCATTGACTTTTACATTTTTGTGGCTCCAGCCCGTTTTTTTTTTTTTGGTCCAATATGGTTCTTTGAACAGTTTGGGTTGCCGACCCCTGCACTAGGTCTTTCTGCCTGCAATATATTCTCCACTGCTTTATGAGTAGTTTATTACAGGGTGGTTTTTCTGTAGGTATCTTTTAAATTATACAGCTAACTTATAACAACTGATTTTAACGGATGTATTTAAAGGGAATTATAACACTGTGATACCTGTTATTAACCTTAAATAAAAAAGTGCAAAACCACTTTTACACTCACATTATAGTTAAGCAAATGTATTGCTCAATTACAACAAGCAGAAAAGAAATAACCAGAACTTTAGCTCTACTCCATGTGGGCTTGGTGTGCAAAGCCTGATGGAAAATGAAATTGAAACACTTTATTGTCCCTGAGGGGTAATTAATTTATAGATAACAGTTTTTTTGGGAGTTACCATGGGACGCCTACTTAACAAAAAAGGCTGCCAACTCTATTTTAACGACAAATATATGATATATATGTCATTTTATATGTGTTATTTACCCTCTTGTTATTCCATGTTATCCTATTTCAGCTCTCTGTCTTCTCTTTTTCCTTTTCAAACTAACGGTCTCTGCATCTTTTCATGCAGAAGCTTAAGGCAGTCAAACACCTCCTTAAAATCTATTACACCACTGGCATATAAATACAGCAGTTCATAAGTAAAGTGAAACATTAAGGCAGCATGCTAAGTGGTCCTGATGAAATGCCCTTGAGCTCAGCCCTCAATAAAGAGCTGTTTTATATTGGTGCCTTCTTCTGAGTGACCATTAGGTATGAGCCAGGTCCAAATAAAACATATTTATATATTTATATAGAGAGAGGGTTTTATATTTATAAAGGTTATTATTATTTTTTTAATCCTTCTTTTTTTCCTTTTCATATCGGTTCTCTCCAAACTTTTTTTTATGCTAATCAGCCAACTTTCCAACATAAAAACAATCCCTCTTAAACTTTTTCTGAGATGCTCTTGAAACTATGCCAAAATCCCGGTGTTCGAGTTTCTAATTTTCCCTCCATTTTCCTCGTCTTCCACCTCTTTGGTGTCCTTCGTCTGTGCTCTCTCCTGCATCCTCAGAGCTTTGCCTCAAGGTGGCAAGCTGGATGTTCAGTCATCTCTGGGAAGACGGGCTGCCTTGATTGGAGTTGACAGAGACACTTGAGGCAAAGACGCTACTAATTGGAAAGGAGAAGATGTGCTGGGAGAGGGGGTTCGTGTTAAGGCGATGACTGAACTTTTAGCTCTGTGTCATTGGTTTTTGTGTATGAACAAGAGACTTCCCCCTGAAATGACTCTTTGGCACCAATTATGTTATAGAAAAAAAATAAATAAAGAGGAACCACAGAACTGCTGTGATTATTAACTTGTGGCAAAATCAGAAGGAAAAAAGAACAAATTAGATCAAGTTTTACCCTTTCTTTATACATTGTGTGCATTAATTATAAGTGGTAATTTTCATGCTAAAATGTCTAGTTTTGAAACAGGGAAAAAACATTTAAAATTTAAATTGACGGTAAATGTAAGTGGATAGACCATCTAAACGTTTTACTCAAATAAAAGGTCTACTTAAAAATTGTTTTTGTTACTGAAGTAAAAGTACTAATCCCAGGGATTACTCATGTAAAATAAAAATAAAAAGGCAACTGAGTAATGGTTAGCTGGCAATGTTAATTTAATAATTAACATTATGTATTATGTATCTATTCAGATAATCAGTGTTTTTTTTGTTTGAACAAATATTTTGTTAAATTTTAACGCTCTGAGAGCCATTTTATACATTATATATATATATATATATATATATATATATATATATATATATATGCAGCAAGAAGATTCCATGTTGGATTCCCAGCCTGGGGTCTTACTGCATGTTCTCCCTGAGCATGCTTGGGTTTTCTCCGGATACTCCGGCTTCCTCCCACAGTCCAAAAGCATGACTGTTAGGTCAATTGGCTTCTCTAAATTATCCTTAGGTGTGAGTGTGTGTATGAATGGCTGTTTGTCCTGTTTGTCTCTGTGTTGCCCTGCGATAGACCTTAGAGCTGTCCAGGTGGTACCCCTCCTCTTGCCCGTAGACAGCTGGAGATAGGCACCAGCACCCCTCGCGACCTGCTGTATTGCTGTTCCTAGAACTGCAGACTTCTAGCCTAAGATCTCCATTGTTTCTCCAGGTATCCACTTCTCCAGTGTGGCTTTTACTGTCCCCAGTGCTCTGACCAACAGCACTACAGTTGCCTTCACCTTACATGCTCTTTCTAGTTCATCCCTGAGCTCTTGGTATTTTTTTTAATTTCTCATGCTGGTTTTTCCTGTTGTTTCCATCATTTGGGATTGACCACATCTATCACTAGAGGTGTCATCTGCTTCCTATCAATGATCACAATTTCTGGTTGGTTACCCAAAACCATCTTGTCTATTTATATCTAGAACACAAGCTACTTGGTTATAATGTTCCATATATTCCTTTCCTGCCAGCATCTTTCTCACTGCTGTGAGATGGTGGATTGTTTCCGGGGCCTCATTACATCACCTGTATATGGGATATTTTTTTTAGCTTTTCTGACATAAAAATAATATTGGTGAATCAGAATTTTTAAAGATGGTTAAAAAAAGCTAAACTGTTAATTAATTTTCTGTCCGGTCTCACTTAAACAAGTTGACCGCTTTGTTTATTGTGGCACCTGCATTACAGGAACATGCACTCTGTGAGGATACAAATTTATTAAACATTTTGATAATTGTATTGTAATATAACAAGCCACCTAGCTGTATAGATAATAAAACACCACAAATTACCTTCAAAGCTGTTAGTGTTTGGAGGAATCTCCTGCTACTCTTCCTCAGTCAGTGTATATCCATGCATAACCATGACAAATTAGAAGATTTATTTACGACATTTTCCAATGAATTAATAATTTTTTTGAAAAACTAAGATGCTTTAGTTTGCTCCATACCTACAGCAGTGTTCACTGATGGTTCAATACTGTAGTTTGTATAATTGGGAACCATAGCATAAGTAACTGGTAACAAGCAACTGTTCTGTCCCATGCAGAGCAGAAAAACATGATGGCAATTAAAACATTGTTAGAAAACGTATCATATCTGAGGTGAGATTGCTGAATCTGCCTTGCATTTAGCAGCTAGAATGACACTTCCAGGTCACTCTCTCTGGACGTTTCACATGTTCACGTTTAGTCACTGAGGCGATCACAGCTCCTGCAGGAAGAAAAGCACACGTCAGCACAGTTCATGTGCACTCAACAGTACGACCCTGTTAAATATTAAACACATTTCTAATTTATATATTTATTTTGTACATCTGTGTGCTCTTCCTGCAGATTGAGGTGTTGCTGCATAAATATTACATATATGAAGAGGACAGAATCTGAGAATGTAATTTATTGCACTGACTCTCATTGCACTAAATTAAAAACATCTGTATGGATGCCGCTTCTCAGACTTTTTATTATGCATTTCAAATGATTCAACAACTCTAATGGATATATTATGCATGCAGATTATGTCATATCAATCATTTTTCACTCATTGCTGTTTTATTGTTCAGAATTGAATATATTAGACCCCCGCCCTCAATTTTTTGGATAAGAAATTAACAAAAGCATGGAAGGGAGGTCTAAAATTTGCAATTATTACATGAAAATAGCAATGTAGGCAGTGTACAGTTGCAAAAATGGTGCACCTGCAAAAAATATAAATCTAAGTAAATGTTTAGTAAATCTAAACACGTGCATAAGACAATTAACACGGTATATGACAAAAAAAAACCTGCAGTCTCTTATTTTGAGTGCATAACAACTAATTATCTTATTTTAAAGGTAAAATATTTATTCTATTGGAAGATCATATTATTTACCTACTTAAATCAAGGGTAAATAAGTAAATAAACTAATGTTTACTCATTAGCAGATTTTTTTTTACAGTGTAGAGTCATATATCATAAACAATGGTGGAACTGCCTTGGCTTTCTGCAGTCCACTGTCATGTCATTGATTCTCATGTTCTCAGACATTTCTGTCACTATATGAAACTTCACAAAGCATGTCCTCTGTGCTTCAAAACAAAGCTACACATCCCTTCATACACATGGCGCTGATGTGCACATTCACCCAGAAACCTGCATCCTACTGTTTCCCTTTGCTGTTGCCCAGTGTGATGTATTTTCAAAAGGAGAATCTGGAATGGGATCTGGAATCATGCTGGGAAAAAAAATTTTTTTCTTAATTTTATACATACTTTGGTCAAAATATGTTGAAAGCAGTAATTGCAACAAAACATACTTTTGTATTTAGAGCTGTTTTGAGCAAAATGACCTTCTTATCAAACTCCTAATTACTAAGTAATGTTGTCACAATACCTTGTTCTAAAGGAATACTAAAAGAAAACAACTTAATGTAACCCATCTGAAACCATTTTACAACTCCACACATTTTCCTTCAGATTAAGACTTAGCAGCTTCACCCCTTTTTTAGTCCTGTGACTATGTGTCAGAAAACAATCTGACACCATCAAATCATATTTCATGGTGGCTCTCACTTCCTCTTGGCTCTTATATTCTATATATATTAAAGCTCTGATTGGGTATTGCTTAAAAAGACTTTCTGTTGTCCAGTGCAAATGCTGCACAGCAAAAATATTTTAAGTACACTTATTGAGAGAGTTGATGTTTGGTTTTCACATAAGTGTATACCTATAAAAGACAAATCTTGTAAATGGACATGAGACTGTTTGATGAGTAAATTACTTCTTAGAAGAATGAGTTTCATCCTAGTCTTTGTGATTCAGTTAAAGCAAAATCCCTTCAGAGCTCTGACCTGTTAGAGTGTGTCTGTGTAGACAGCTGATAAGACGGACAACCGGTGTTGGGCGGTTAGATGTACGGTAACGACCGCAGGGTTCGAGCTGTCAGTCCTCTTCAGCTGGCAACGGCTGAGACGTGTGTCGGAACCTGCAACCATCAAGCTGTCGGAAGGAGTCAGAGTCGACGCTTTACCTAGTCACCTTGGAGGAGGCAAGGAATGAAATCAATTCAAATGAGAGTCAAATTTAACTCCTATGCCTCTGAGCACTTTTTGACCTTAAGTCTGCCAACAAATGTGCAAGTTTGTTCTGTTTCTTCAGGGACCATCCTTTGCCTCTTTATCAGTGAGCCAAATTCAAATCAAGCTCAACAGATCCCCTGGTTTGCAAACTGAAAATGACCATTGCTTAAAAAGGTAAATAGACTTTCTGATACATTAATACCATCCAAAAGACCCTTTGGAATAGTTTAAGTAACAAACAGAGGTTATATATTGTAGTTGCTATTGATAATTTAAAAAATTACCGTGTTGAGTCATCTGTTCAACTAAAAGAAGTGTTAATATGGAAACATCTTGTTATTACTAAAGAATTGAGCCTAGGTTTGACCTCGTAGGTTTATGCATTTTGATTCACAAACTCTCCACCATGGTTGTTAGGTTAAATCAACTGTAACACCAAATGCAACCCAGTGCAATACATAATTAGAAAGTTTTTGTTACGTTTCAGCTCTACTAAAAAAATACGAGTATGTCTTTGGAAAGTTAGATAACAGAATTTGCTGCATATTGAAATTCCCCTTCAAATTAGTTAGGCAACAATTTAAAGTCGCTGTTATTACTAAAAGTTCCAATACATTTAATGATAAATGCTGGAGGACAGAAATGGCATCAAACTTTACTAAATCTCAATGCAACACAGGAAATTCTCATTGTTATGGGAGAACAGTCAAAGTCCTTAAATGACGCAAAGCCTTGCCTTACGTCCTCAGGATATCATAGCCACTTACTGTCACTGTCACACATGAAAGCATCTCTTTTTCGTCTGACTGTGAACGCTCCCTCGGTGCAGCCGGTAGCCACATATCTTTTGTCAGAAAGCTGCGGCTACAAAACAACAGAATGAGTCCTCTGTTGAGTTCTTTGCCTCTGTTCACAGAAATAATAACTTTTCCTACATTTTTATTGTCTCCATCAGGATTAAAGAAAAAACTTTTAATTAAAGCTGGCAACACAAAAATATTGAATGAAAAAATAACAGAGTCCTTACAGAATTTAAAATCTTCTCAAAAGTTTGAGCGTCTTTATCATTATATTTCCATACAGAATACTGTAGATAGTTCCATTTCTTAAAGTGCAGCAGTGATCAAATGTAAACAGTGTGGGGAAAAAAACATGGTAAAAAAAAAGAAGATTAGAGCATTAAATATCTATGGTGAAGCTATACAGTGTTTTGGTTTGGTGTTGTCAGTTTGATGCAGAGTCTGTGACATGATTTAGAGTTTTCTCAACAGTTGAGCTGCCTGATGGGCATAGGGAAGAAGCTGTTTCAGAATTTGCTGGACCTGCATTGGATGCTGCGAAGCCTCTTCCCAGATGGCAGCAGGGAGAACAGTCCATGGTGGGAGTATGATGACGTTACGGGGCTCAGGACACGCACTGCTGGGATGAAACATCTTTAATGGAGGGAAGAAGAGGCACGGTGATCTTCTCTGCAGTTCTCACTACTCTTCTCACCTTCTTTCAGTCTGCAGCGCTGCAGCCTCCACACCACGCAGTGAGACAGCTGGTCAGAGCTGGTCTCTATGTGTGGGTGCAGGGGGGCTCTCCTCCTCCTCCACAGGAAATACATGCACTTCTGTGTCCTTTTGATCATTGAGGTAGTGTTTACAGTCCAGGTGAGGGTGTCTGTGATGTGCACCCCCAGGAACTTGGTGCTGTTGACTACCTCTACAGCTGAGCTGTTGATGACCAGTGGAGCGTGGTTAGGCCGGTTCTTCCTGAAGTCCAAGATGATCTCCTTCGACAGCACATATGACAGCACAACAGCACATGGGTGTTCTTCTGAGTACATGGGTGTACAAATACTTCGTTACTGTACTCAAGTAGATTTTTGCGATATTTTTACTTTACTTTACTACTTATTTTTATGGCGACTTTTTACTTCTACTCCTTACATTTTTACACAAATATCTGTACTTTCT